TCATCATCTATTTGGTTGTTCTCTCTTTTATTTTTAATCAATCTGGCTAGTGGTCTGTCTATTTTGTTGATCTTTTCAAAGAACCAGCTCTTGGATTTATTGATTTTTTTGAAGAATTTTTCGTGTCTCAATCTCCTTCAGCTCAGCTCTGATCTTAGTTATTTCTTGTCTTCTGCTGGGTTTTGAGATTTTTGATCTTGCTCCTCTAGCTCTTTCAATTTTGAGGATAGGGTGTCAATTTTGGAACTCTCCATTCTCCTCATATGGGCTCTTATTGCTATATACTTTCCTCTAGAGACTGCTTTAAATGTGTCCCAGAGGTTCTGGCACGTTGTGTCTTCGTTCTCATTGGTTTCAAAGAACTTCTTTATTTCTGACTTCATTTCATCGTTACCCAGTAAACATTCAAGAGCCAGTTGTTCAGTTTCCATGAAGCTGTGCGGTTCTGAGTCAGTTTCTGTATTCTGAGTTCTAACTTGATTGCACTATGGTCTGAGAGGCTGTTTGTTATGATTTCAGTTGTTTTGCAGTTGTTGAGCAGTGCTTTACTTCCAATTATGTGGTCAATTTTAGAGTAGGTGTGATGTGGTGCTGAGAAGAATGTGTATTCTGTGGATTAGGGTGGAGAGTTTTGTAAATGTCTATCAGGTTTGCTTGCTCCAGGTCTGAGTTCAAGCCCTGGATATCCTTGTTGATTTTCTGTCTGGTTGATCTGTCTAATATTGACAGTGGAGTGTTAACGTCTCCCACTATAATTGTGTGGGAGTCTAAGTCTCTTTGTAAGTCATTAAGAACTTGCCTTATGTATCTGGGTGCTCCTGCATTGGGTCTATATATGTTTAGGATCGTTAGCTCTTCTTGTTTTATCAATACTTTTACCATTATGTAATGGCCTTCTTTGTCTCTTTTGATCTTTGTTGCTTTAAAGTCTATTTTATCAGAGATGAGAATTGCAACTCCTGCTGTTTTTTTGCTCTCCATTTTCTTGGTAAATCTTCCTCCACTCCATCCCTTTATTTTGAGCCTTTGTGTATCCTTGCATGTGAGATGGGTTTCCTGGATACAGCACACTGATGGGTTTTGGATTTTTATCCAATTTGCCAGTCTGTGTCTTTTCATTGGTGCATTTAGTCCATTTACATGTAAGGTTAATATTGTTATGTGTGAATTTGATACTGCCATTTTGATGCTAAGTGGCTGTTTTGCCTGTTAGTTGTTGTAGATTCTTCATTATGTTGATGCTCTTTAGCATTTAGTGTGATTTTTGAATGGCTGGTACTGGTTGTTCCTTTCTATGTGTAGTGCCTCTTTCAGGAGCTCTTGTAAAGCAGGCCTGGTGGTGACAAAATCTCTGAGTACTTGCTTGTTCGCAAAGGATTTTATTCTTCCTTCACTTCTGAAGCTCAGTTTGGCTGGATATGAAATTCTGGGTTGAAAGTTCTTTTCTTTAAGAATGTTGAATATTGGCCCCCACTCTCTTCTGGCTTGTAGTGTTTCTGCCGAGATCTCCTGTGAGTCTGATGGGCTTCCCTTTGTGGGTAACTCAACCTTTCTCTCTGGCTGCCCTTAGTGTTTTCTCCTTTATTTCAACCTTGTTGAATCTGACGATTATGTGCCTTGGCGTTGCTCTTCTTGCAGAATATCTTTGTGGTGTTCTCTGTATTTCCTGCATTTGAGTGTTGGCCTGTCTTGCTAGGAGGGGGAAGTTTTCCTGGATGATGTCCTGAAGAGTATTTTCCAGCTTGGATTCATTCTCTTCGTCCCCTTCTGGTACACCTATCAAACGTAGGTTAGGTCTGTTAACATAGTCCCACATTTCTTGGAGACTTTGTTCATTCCTTTTTGCGCTGTTTTCTCTAATCTTGGTTTCTCGTTTAATTTCATTGAGTTGGTCTTCGACTTCAGATAATCTTTCTTCTGCTTAGTCAATTCGGCTATTGAAACTTGTGCATGCCGGCAAAAGAAACAGTCACTAGAGTGGATCGGCAACCAACAGAATGGGAAAAAATTTTCGCAGTCTACCCATCTGACAAAGGGCTGATATCCAGAATTTACAAAGAACTCAAGCAGATTTACAGGAAATAAACAAACAAGCCCATTCAAAAGTGGGCAAAGGATATGAACAGATACTTTACTAAAGAAGACATATATGAGGCCAACAATCATATGAAAAAATGCTCATCGTCACTGGTCATCAGAGAGATGCAAATCAAAACCACATTGAGATACCATCTCACGCCAGTTAGAATGGCGATCATTAAAAAATCTGGAGACAACAGATGCTGGAGAGGATGTGGAGGAAAAGGAACACTTTTACACTGTTGGTGGGAGTGTAAATTAGTTCAACCATTGTGGAAGACGGTGTGGCGATTCCTCAAGGCCTTAGAAATAGAAATTCCATTTGACCCAGCAATCCCATTACTGGGTATATATCCAAAAGACTATAAATCGTTCTACTATAAGGACACATGTACACGAATGTTCATTGCAGCACTGTTTACAAAACCCAAATGCCCATTGATAATAGACTGGATTGGAAAAATGTGGCACATATACACCATGGAATATTATGCAGCAATCAGAAATCATGAGTTCGTGTCGTTTGTAGGGACATGGATGAATCTGGAAAACATCATCCTCAGCAAACTGACACAAGAACAGAAAATGAAACACCGCATATTCTCACTCATAGGTGGGTGATGAAAAATGAGAACACATGGACACAGGGAGGGGAGTACTAAACACTGGGGTCTATTGGGGGGAAAAGGGGAGGGCCAGTGGGAGGGGGAGGTGGGGAGGGATAGCCTGGGGAGAAATGCCAAATGTGGGTGAAGGGGAGAAGAAAAGCAAAGCACACTGCCATGTGTGTACCTACGCAACTTTCTTGCATGCTCTGCTCATGTACCCCAAAACCTATAATCAAATATAAAATTAAAAAAAAAAAAAAAAACTTGTGCATGCTTCGCGAAGTTCTCCTATTGTGTTTTTCATTTTCAGCTCCTTTAATTCATTCATATTCCTCTCTAAATTATCCATTCTTGTTATCATTTTCTCATATCTTTTTTTAAGTTCCTTAGTTTCTTTGCATTGATTTACTATGTGTTCTTTTTGCTCACAAAATTTCTGATTATCCACCTTCTGAAGTCTATTTCCGTCATTTCGTCACAGTCATTCTCCGTCCAGCTTTGTTCCCTTGCTGGTGAGGAATTTTGGTCCTTTCTAGGAGGCGAGGTGTTCTGGTTTTGGGTGTTTTCCTCCTTTTCTCGCTGGTTTCTTCCCATCTCTGTGGGTTTATCCGCTTGTCGTCTGCGTAGTTGCTGACTTTTGATTGGGTCTCTGAGTGGACACCCAGATTGTTGATGATGAAGTATTTCTGTTACTTGGTTTTCCTTCTACCAGCCTAGCCCCTTCACAGTACGACTGCTGAGGTCCACTCCAGGCCCTGCTTGTCTGGGGTGCACCTCTAGCAGCTGTGGCACAGTGAGGGACCCGTTTCTTTTTCTGCTATCTTTGTCCCAGGATGATGCCTGCCTAATGTCAGTCTTTTGGATATAGAGGGGTCAGGGAGCTGCTTGAGGAGACAGTCTGTTCTTTTTAGGAGCTCTATTTCTGAGCTGTGAGCTCTGTTGTTCATTCAGGGCTGTTAGGCTGCTATGTTTGATTCTGCTGCAACAGAGCTCATTTAAAAAACCCTTTTTTTCTCAAATGCTCTGTGTTGGGGGGTTCGGCTTTATTTTTCGATGTCCGTTGAGGTGTCCTGCCCAGCTAGGAGGCAGACTAGCCACTGTTTGCCTGCCTAGTCTCCGCCCTGCTGTTGTGTGATTCGCCCTGTTCCTGCAGGCTCTGCTGTGGTCTTCGCCACGCCCTGCGGTGGAGTCTCTTCGTTGTAGAGTGTTGCCTCGGCAGCGGCAGGCTGCGTCAGCAGTGGGCATGTATCTCAGTAGGGACGGGTTGCCTCGGTAATGGGAGACTGCGTCTGCAGTGGGCGTCGTGTATCTCAGTAGGGACGGGTTGCCTCGGCAACGGCTGGCTGCGTCAGCAGTGGGCGTGTATCTCAGTTGGTGCGGGTTGCCTCGGTAGTGGTGGACGCCCCTCCCCCACAGAGAGTCTCGGACCGTCTGCTCGGGATAGTTTGAAATCGCGGTTTTGTTCGTCCTACTGGGTACCCCAAACGCTCTGTCCCTGCAATCCCCTGGGCTGGCCTACTGTCCAAGTCTCCTTCAGTCTCAAGTTCAGCCCTCTCAAGTCTCAGGTTGCTGGTTCAACAGGGCACCCAGACAAGCACGCCCTGTGGGGATTGCTGGGTAGCACTGGCCGCCACCGCCCTGGCTGCTGGCTTCTCCAGGCAGACTTACTACCTGGCGTCCCATGTCTTTTTTATACTTGGGAATTTCTCCGTTCTGTGGGCAACAAAGATCAGTCTGGAAATGCAACTCCGACTCACCTGTTTGCGGATTCAACGAGAACTCCAATCCTGGGTGGTTCTCACAGCGCCATCTTGAGGCCTCTCCTAGTGAACTTTTTTCATTTTCTTCCATGAGTGAAAACATAGTTTAGTTTTCTTTTGCTTCTTATGGCAATACTGGTAATTCATATTTTTCTAAGAGATTAACTATGTCACTGATATTTAAAATTTACTGATATAAAATCATATATAATAATTTTTAAATAATTTTTCTTTGTGTGTATCGTTGTTTACATTCTGAGTATTACATTTTTGTTTTCTTTTTTATGATTAGACTTGTGAAAGATTTAACTTTTCATTAATTTTTCCAGAGAATTGAATTTATCAGTGCTGTTGGGTTTTTTTTAATTGTGGTAGAGTGTTTTCTGATTCATTATTTTTAGCTTTAGTATTCATTCCTTCTTCATTTTTAAAATTTACTCTTCTGCTATAATTTTTAAGTATGGTCCAGGGACCTCTAGTGGTGCCCCAAGACATTTTCAAAAGATCCATGAGGTCAAAGCTATTTTCACAATACTAAGGCTGTTTTCCAGAGGCTAAATGACATGTGACACTGAAGCCAACTAAATATCAAAGAAGATATGAGTATCCACCTGCAAAATTGGATGGAATCCAATTTCATCTATTAAGGTAGGTACTAACAAAGTTTGCAAAAATGTAAAACAATACCACACTTCTCACTACATTATTTTTTAATTTTGGAAAATACTGTCATTTTTACCAAAAAAATGTTACTTGTAATTATACGTATTAGTTTATTATTGCTATTTTTAATGAACTGATAATTTTAAAAAGTTCTTAGTTTGCTTTATAGTGCAGTAAAATGCTCTTCAGGCTGGGAGCAGTGGCTCACACCTGTAATCTCAACTCTTTGAAAGACTGAGGCAGGCAGATCACTTGAGGTCAGGAGTTGGAGACCAACCTGGCCACCATGGTAAAACCCCATCTCTACTAAAAAATACAAAAATTAGCCTAGCATAGTCGTCTGTAGTCTCAGCTACTTGGGAGACTGAATTGCTTGAATCCAGGAAGTGGAGGTTGCAGTGAGTCAAGATCACACCACTGCACTTCCACCTGAGAAACAGATTGATACTCCAACTCAACAAAAGAAAAAAGCTATTGAAGATCTTTAATAATTTTAAAGAATGTATAGGGATTCTGAGACCGAAACGTTTTGAGAATCACTGTTCTATTGCATATTGAATATCCAGTTTATTTATTTTCATTATTTCTTTTTTGATAATGAACATGCTTATTTTTATAAATTTAAACAAATTCTTTTTTGTCTACAGACAGCCTCTAATTATTTTTTGGATTTGAGAGATAAAATATGTATTCTCTGAAGTTTGTAAGTTAAAAACCTAAACTGGGAAAAATGTTAACCAGAAAGACATCTGATTACACCTAACTCTCTGCACCTTATTATAACAGAAACAGAGGCTCTTAGAACTCTAGTTTTACAAACTATGTAGCTCTCTCTTGAATTTACTTCAGACAATAAAGGAGCTGTACGTGCCTTCGTTTATCAAGAGTACTCCATTGATCAAGACAATTCAAAGCTCATCTGAGATTCATCTGACATTAAAATAAAATCACTAAACTATATCAGATAGAATGTTAGGATCTGTGATTCTGGGCTAGTAATTTATTGGGAGAATCTGAAAGAAAAGTTACAGAGAAAAATTGTGTGTGTTTTTTGTGTTATGGGCATAATTATATAATACCACTTAAATCCTTATTAAAAAGAAATTACAAGTGTGATTTTCTTGTCAAAAGCGTTGACTAGGTAAAACATTATGTTAAGAAAGATAGAAATGAAGGGAGCCTTAGCAAAATAAATATTGGTAATAATGCAAATTCAAGTCTTAATAGTTGAGACTGTGGGCTGTGAGAAAGAAAAATGTGGAGACAGTTGCAGATGGATCATCTCTTAATCCAAGGAAGACTACATCAGGATTACAAATTAATTATTTAAATTGATAAATACGTTTAAAGAAGTTTTTCAACTTGTCAGTGAGCTTGCAGATTAAAATGTTTCTCAGTAGATCATATGGCATATGAGAAAATAGTAAGTGCTATCTAGAAAAATAAAGTGGAATGGAGGATAAGTAAAGGGGTCAGTTTTTAATAGGATAGTTAGGGATAATATCACTGAGAAGGTGACCTTTGAGCAAAACTTGGAGGGGAGTGAGAAAGTCACTTGCATATCTAAGGGGAAGACAACAAGTGTAAAGGTCCTGATACAGGCTCATGTCTGGTATATTTTGGGGAGTTGGAATTTATACATATGAAACTGAGGTGGAGGCAATACAAAAAAGTGTAATAAAACAAATATATACAGATATAGATTTTGAGACAGGCTCTCAATCGCTCAGGTTGAAATGCAGTGGTGTGATCATGGCTCGTTGCAGCCTGGCTGAAGTGGAATGAGCACAGTTCACTTCAGCCTTGCTGCAGTGAGCTCAGATGCCTGGACTCAGGTGATCACCCCACTTCAGCCTCTAGAGTAGCTGGAGCTATAGGCACATGCACCACACCCAGCTACTTTTCTCTTTTTGGAGAAACAGGGGGTTTCATCATGTTGCCCAGACTGATCTTGAACTTCTGAGCTCAAGCAAGCCACCGGTTTCAGCCTCCCAAAGTGCTGAAATTATAGGCGTAAGCCATCGTGCTTGGCTTAATTCTATAAATTAAATATATAAGTGCTTAGTAATGGGAATAACATTCCATGACATTGAGGTCTGTTTTTTCACAAAATATCTTATGGGAGGTGAGTTTAGATCCAGGTTTTCCAGGAAATTATTAAATGATTTGGTAAGATGGAAGGCATTCTAGATGGAACAATGTGTTAGTTAATATAGGTTTATCTATTTTCCAGGCACATGGTAAGCCTTATACATATTTCAGCTGTTAATATTAGGGATCAAATGTAGTTTATGTGAGAAATGTATATAGACTTAGCTGGCAGGGTTTAGCTGTGGCAAGAAGGATTCGCTTTAGGTATAATTTGGCTACTATTTTTAACTATTAAAATAGATCTTTGAAGTTATCATTACAAGTAAAACAGAATTTCTTTTCTCTTTTTTACATTCTAGATACCAAAATAATTTCCCTTTCTCACCTTGAAATGACCTGAGCTAACAGAAGAAATTTTCCTGCATTGCTTATGAGGATCATACATAAATCAAAATGGTGAAACTATGGGAAACCTGATAAAAAGATGACTGAACCATATCAAGTACAAGCAATGATAAGATATCCTATGTGAATTTAAGGTTATAAATTATAACTTACACACTTAATAGTATGATAACCTGTTCGTTTAAATAGCGTAAGTCACTTCAATGTAATTTTAAAATGTACATAAATATATGTTGTATTTTTCTGCATAATTTATTGTACATACAAAATTATTTCTGTATTGGTGCCCTTTATTTTCCTGATCTAGGTGGTCTTCTTCCCACCTTTTTATTTTCCTAAACCTAAAAGTTTTTCTTCTCAGCTATGCTTTATGCACCACCATATAAACATACTCTAGCCTCCCATTTAAAAGAGAAAGTAAAATAATCTGCCTTGGTCTTATGACTCTTTTATTCCCAATCTCTTTCTCTTCAGATAAGCTTCTTGAAGAAGTAGTCTACACTAGGTGTTTTTACTTTCTTACCTCCCATTTCTCAACACAATTACTTTGGCTTTTTTCCTTAGCTTATCATTCACTAGTAACTCTAACTGTGAAATCTGTGTGATACTTTTCTATTGTTTTGACTCCACACTGCATAATGCTCGTGAGCTCTACTTCCTTGATATGTTTGTGTTCTATTTTTTCTTTCTTAATATTATACTCTATTTTCCCATGATATCAAGAACTATTTTACATATTTCATTAAACTTTCATTACAAAAGTATACATGCTTCTTATAGGGAATTTGGAAAATGTAGAAAGCTATTTGAAGATCTTACTACTCAGAGAGAGCCACTGTTAACATGGTGTGTTTTATTCCCTTTCTTGTGTGTGTGTACATCACTTATATACACATATATAAGCATAAACTAGATTTACATATACATATCTATTATATTTATATCATAAATATAACATATATGTACATACGTACAGGTATCATATATTTTATGTAACTATATATGTTATATATTACAGTAATTTTTATTTTTTTATTTTATTATTTATTTTTTTAAATTACATTTTAGGTTTTGGGATACATGTGAAGAACATGCAAGATAGTTGCATAGGTACACACGTGGCAGTGTGATTTTCTGCCTTCCTCCCCTTTACCTATATCTGGCATTTCTCCCCATGCTATCTCTCCCCAACTCCCTATCCCCCACTGTTTCTCCCCTATTCCAGCCAACAGGCCCCAGTGTGTAGTGCTCCCCTCCCTGTGTCCATGTGTTCTCATTGTTCAACACCCACCCATTAGTGAGAACATGCAGTATTTCATTTTCTGTTATTGTGTCAGTTTGCTGAGAATATGATGTTCTCTTAAAAAATGGGAACTATATTCTGAATACAGTTTTGTATTATTTTACATTTTCTTAAATATTTGCTCTTATGACTAAAAATTCATCATTCATAACTTTACAGTTATAAAGTTTTAGCAAATGATATCATAAATTATTCAGTCATTCCTTGATATTTGTTTGCCTTCTCACTGTTGCAATACTTTCTTCCCTAATTTTTAAACTCCACTTACTTGTTGCCTTCCTGTCTCTTTGTGTCTTCATCATTTTGTCCCTGCTTGCCTCTCCAGTTTCATCTCTTCCTGAGCTTTCTATGCCCCATAATAACCAAAGTGCCCTACCTGGAATTTTCTAATGGTAATCAATTGTTTTCTACTTTTCATACCTCTAATTATGTTACTTCTTCTGCCTAGAATGCTCTTCCTTTCAATTATCATCAGATTGGCAAAGCCATCTTTAAGATTCAGTTCAGTGCCTACCTCTGATTTAAATCTTTCCATGTATACCCATATGCCTAGTCACTAAGGAGAATCAACTACATGCTACTCAGGACCCCATTATAGAGCATGTATAACCCAGTTATACATATCTGTTAATAGATTTGCTAACCTTACTCTACTGTGAGCTCTCTGACTGTAGGGAAGAAGTATTTATAGTGCTTAAGAGTGCACTTCCTCTAGTCATATGAACTGAATTCAGGTTTTGGCTCTGTTTACCATTTCTTAGCTTTATGATATAGGGAAATTTATCCTTTTAAAGCCTCAGTTTACTCATCTATAAAATATGGATACTAATTGTACTTACCTTACAGGGTTGATGTGAGGATTGAAGTAGTTAATATAAGTAAAGAATTTACCTATGTTCCAGGCACATAAGTCCTATATATATTTTAGTCATTATTATTAGGAATGACGTTTGATTCATCTCTTCATTCCAGTGCCTAACATAATGTCTGGAGTAGAGAACCAGTAAATGTTTAATGAATAAAAAAATGAATTGCCCAAAATGTATATATATTCATCATTAAGAGAAAGGGTCTGAGAAAATAACATCATTATTTAAGAAGAAATTAAGAATTAGAAACCACATTAATGATTGCCTTTTAGGCAGAGCTGAAGTTGTAACTGTATTTTAATACCGAGAAAAACTCCATCAGATACTTTCTACCTCAAGAGATTTCTGTATTTTAACTATACTCAGAGTCAGCAATAATGCACATTTGTTCTAACATTCCCCTTTCTGATAGCATTATTTCTCAAATAGTGTCTCAGAAATTATTTCCATGTCTTATGTACCAGCCTTGTGTATTGCTATAAATAAATTAATGTAACCAGGGTATTGATGGCATTGTGCCCACTCAATTATATGTTTATCTAAAGTTCTCAAATATGAATATCAAAGCCATTTAACAGTTCAGATAACCAAGAATGATGTCAAAATTTTAAGGTAAAACTTGTAACATGCGATTTGTCTCATTGATTTGACAAATGTGTTGTGGGATCACTCTTTAAGGGCACCATGCTAAATACTATGGAAGAATCAAATATAAATAAGATTTGGCCTGTGTCCTCAGAGCTTCCTTCACACAGTAATTTAGTAGCACATTTAGTACTCCCATGGATCTGGTGGCTGTCTCTTCTTTAGATCACCAGTATTAGCAGATTTGACAACTGAATCATTATTAATAATTAAAAATTAAATGTTATTTTCTATCACCCTAAATGATCACAGATAATATGTTATATACCATCTGTATACATAAAAGTGACAGATATGTATATGCTTTTACTCTTTTTTTCTAGACCTGTTTGGAGGTTGCTGACAGTTCAGGCATGGTGTCGGTGATTATGTGGAATGCCCCGTGTCCTGAGTGGTTTAAAATTTTGCGAGTTGGTTTAGTTTTTCTGCTTCAAGATTATTCTGTTAAAAAGAATTATCCATTTAGAATACAGCCTGTCCCCATGGATCCACAGATCAAACTAATTTCTACAATGAGTTAAGTATTCAATAAATTTGTTGTCTTATGGCTATTTTATTTATATAAATTTGCAATATACCATATTAGAAAAAAGGCCATAAAAATTACTGAAACTGTTAGAACCTAACGAAGCTTTAAATTTATTTGTTCATAGAATTTTCAAGCAATCACATAACCTAATAAATATACCTGTTTATTATTTCATTATTAAAAAAAATTATCTGAGATATTTATTGTTGATTGAAGAATGAGCTCCACTTGGGTTGTACTTATTTTGTTTTCTTTTACTTTTGGTCACCTAATACTAACTTAACAATGAATATATTTTGCATTTACTACTAGTTTCTATCTCAAAAGGACTTCCGTTAACTTTTGTATTGAAATAATTTCAAACTTACATAAACGTTAAAAGAATGGTAGAGAGATCTCTCATATACCCGTTATCCATATTCAACAATTACTAACATTTACTTTTGCTTTATCATTGTATCTCTCTCTTCACATATATACATATCTATACACACACACGCACACACACACACACACACCCCCATACACACACCATACATACACACGTATGTATATATATTCCCTGTGATCCAGTAAGAGAAAGTAGCAGCCATCATACATACCCCTTTAAGCCTAAACACTTCACTAGTATTTCAGTGTATATTTTCTAATAAGAAGAGTATTCTATTACATAATCTGAGTACAATTACCAAAATCAGGAAATTTAAAATTGATACAATACTAATATCTAACCTATAATCAGTATTCAAATTTTGCCAATTTCTGCAATCTTAAAAGGGCTTTTTCTAATTAGTACTGATATCTTGACATCTTAAATATTTTGAACCATTAAAATTAAAGTATTAAATAATTGTTTTTAGATATGAACATGATTTTATTCATTTTCATTTTTAAGAATTATAGATTACATTGCTTCAGTTTAAATACTGTTTTTGGTTTATAGTAGCTTTATTCTGAACCTGAATTTCTGTGTATTCTAAATTTCTCAGCTAATGCACTCAGCTTAATTACTACTTAGAGAATATTCAGATAAAGGTATCAATTGTTGATTGTTTTCTTAAATATGTGTTAATTTGCAAAAATCTTATATGATTATTTATTAAAATCTTAAGCATTTTGTAGACATTGGTCAAATCTCCCTAAATGAAGAAGTTATTACCTAGATAGTCTGGTACACATAGTCTATTATCTCATTAGTTTTTGCTATAGAAATGTGAGGAACTGAACTGATAGAGATATTGTGATTTATTAAGAAAACACAATAAAAGATGGTGAGAGGATGCTAATTTACAACATGCCACCTCTGCTATATAGAATTGTAGGACCAGATTTTCATCATGAAAACTCTCTAAGGTATGAGAAACAATTTATTCTTTCAAGTAAGTAACTGAAGATACAGAAATTATTTTTTAAATGATAGCCTTGGTGAGAATATATTTACAATGTACATTTTGCTATTTAAAAACAGTTTTACTTCTTATTAATGTTATCAGCAGTCTCTATTTTCTCATATTTTTGATATGTAACAGGACTTTGCCTTATTTTTCAGAAAACAATAGACTATGTAAAGCACTAAGTAGTAAATATTTTGACTTTCCAGGCTATATGGTCTCTGTTTCAACTTCTCAGCTCTGTCTTTGTAGACTGAAGGCAGCCATATGTATGTAAAGGAATGGCTATGGCAATATTCCAATAAACATTTATTTACAAAAAGAGGTAGTCATCTACAGCCTGTAGTTTGCCTAGACTACATGTATCAGTAGATTGCAACTCTGGCTGTATACTGGAATCATTTGGGGAGTTTTAAAGAACCACTGATGCCCCATACTCAAAGATTCTGATGTAATTACTCTGAGAATGGGACCAAGGCATTGCTATGGGTTTAAAATTTTCCAGCTGATCCCAAAGGTATAGCCAAGGTTGGGAGCTATGCCTTTATGATTTTTAAAAATTACCTATATAAAACTAATGAGTTTTTTATCCTAGCATTTTCTTCATTTTTAATTGGCAAAAATTAAACATATTTATAGGGTCTAGTGTAACATTTTGATCTATGTATATACATCATAGAAAAACTCAATCAAATATCCATCACCTTACTAACTTACCACTTTTCTGTGGTGAGAACATTAAAAATCTACTAGTCATTTTGAAATATATAATACATTATTATTAACTGTACTCACCATCCAAGGTGATAGATTCCTAAGACTTATTCCTTTAATTTTACTAAAATTGTACCCTTTGATCAAGATCTAGCTTTTTCCTATCACTGTCCACTTGAGCCACCCTCCCCACCCCACCTCTGGTAGCCTCCTTTTTACTCTCTGTTTCTATGAGATTGACTTTTTTAGATTCTTGAAGAATGTTATGCCAATTGAAATAAGCCAGGCACAGAAAGACAAATACTATAAGATCTAACTCATAAGTGGAATCTAAAAAGCTGATCCTATAGAAACAGAGTAGAAAGGTGACTGTCTTATTTATTTATTTATTTATTTATTTATTTAATTTATTTATTTATTTATTGAGACAGAGTCTTGCTGTATCACCCAAACTTAAAGTGCAGTGGTACAATCTCGGCTCACTGCAACCTCCAGCTCCTGGGTTCCAGCGATTCTCCTGCCTCAGCCTCTCAGGTAACTGGAATTACAGGCACACACAACCATGCCCAGCTAAGTTTTATATTTTTGGGAGAGACAGGGCTTCACCATTTTGGCCAGGCTGGGCTTGATATCCTCACCTCAAGTACTCTACCTGCTTTGGCCTCTCAAAATGCTAGAATTACAGGCATGAGCCACCACGCGAGGCCAGAACATGATTAAGTATCTTTTAATGAAAAAAAAGGACAGTTCTATAAATCACGTTAGACACAAAAGATGCAAAAAGTCAGTAATATACAGTTCTACTTTTAAAAGTTAGTCTAATGAGATCACACCTATGTAAGATAAAAAAATTATAGTAAAATAAAAGACTAATGACAGTAAACCATATTAAAAATGTAATAATGTAACAAGAAGTAGGAAAATGTGCTGCATGGGAGAAAGTGTTAAGCAACGATTAGGAAAAATACCAGTGTAACCGGGCACGGTGGCTCATGCCTGTAATCCCAGCACTTTAGGAGGCCGAGGTGGGTGGACCACAAGGTCAATAGATCAAGTCAATCCTTGTCAACATGGTGCAACCCCGTCTCTACTTAAAATACAAAATATTTGCTGGGCATGGTGGTGCGTGCCTGTAATCCCAGCTACTCAGGAGGCTGAGGTAGAAGAATTGCCTGAACCCAAGAGGTGGAGGTTGTGGTGAGCCGAGATCATGCCATTGCACTCCAGCCTGGGCAACAAGAGCGAAACTCTATCTCAAAAGAAGGGGGGAGAGGTAACCAGTGTAAGAAGGAAGGTATTGGGAAGTAAGCACTTTTCAGACAGAGGCCACAGCCCATGCAAAGTCCCTGTCCCTGCTTCTGGTGGATTGCAGGAAAAGCAAGGAGGTCCCTGTGGCTTGAGGAGAATAAGGAGTGGGAGAGAGGGAGGAGGTGAGGAGAACAGGTTGGGCAGGGCCTGCGAGCCTTGAGAAGGTGGGAGATGTTAAGCAATATATCTTTTAATATAAGTGTTATTGGAAATCAAGAAGCAGGAAATAAACAGTCCAATTTGAGTTTTTGGGTTTTTGAGATGGGGTCTCACTCTGCAACCCAGGTGGGAGTGCAGTGGCATGATCTCAGCTCACTGCAACCTCTGCCTCCCAGACTCAAGTGACTCTTGTGGCTCAGCCTACTGAGTAGCTGGTATTCCAGGCACCAGCCACAATGCCTGGCTAATTTTTGTAATTATAGTAGAGACAGGATTTCACCATAATGGCCAGGCTGGCCTGGAACTACAGACCTCTAGTGGATCAACCTGCCTCATCCTCTAATTCACATTTTAATAAAAAGATATTGGTTGGGGTTATTCCAGCACTTTGGGAGGCCGAGGCAAGTGGATCACCTGAGGTTGGGAGTTTGAGACCAGATTGCACCAAACTGGAGAAATCCTGTTTCTACTAAATACACAAAATTAGCTGGGTATGGTGGCCCATGCCTGAAATCCCAGCAATTTGGAAGGCTTAGGCAGCAAGATCGCTTGAACCTAGGAGGCAGAGGCCGCAGTGAGCCAAGATCCTGCCACTGAACTTGAACCTGGGCAATGAGAGTAAAACTCTGTCTGAAAACAAAGAAATATAACAAAAACAAACAAACAAAAAAAAACCTGGGCATGGTGACAGGCACCTGTGGTCCCAGTTACTCAGAAGACTGAGGCAGCCGAATCACTTGAACCTGGAAGGTGAAGGTTTCAGTTGGGTGAAACCACCCACTGCTCTCCTGCCTGGGAGACAGCAATATTTTGTCTCAAACAAAATGAAAAGCAAAACAAAAGCAAACACTTCTGGGCTCACCTGTGAAATTGCTGGGATTATAAACATGGGCCACCATGCCCAGCCTGGGCCAACATCTTAATGGAAAGGGGTAACTAGTGTGAGAAGGAAGGTATTTGGGGGTAAGCTCTTTCCGGACAGAGGACACAGCCCATGCAAAGGCCCTGGGGCAGGAGCGTGTGGCATATTGGAGGAACAGCAAGGAGGTTCGTGTGGCTTGAGCAGAGTGAGGAGTGAACAAAAGGGAGCAGGGAAGAAGAATGGGTTGAGCAGGGCCTGTGGGCCTTGGGGAAGTGGGGGAAGCTTAGAAGTTTATCTTTTTTTTTTTAATTTTTTATTGGATTTTAGGTTTTGGGGTACATGAGCAGAGCATGCAAGACAGTTGCGTAGGTACACACAAGGTAGTGTGCTTTGCTTTTCTTCTCCCCTTCACCCACATTTGGCATTTCTCCCCAGGCTATCCCCCCCACCTCCCCCTCCCACTGGCCCTCCCCTTTTCCCCTAGTACTCCCCTTTCTGTGTCCATGTGTTCTCATTTTTCATCACCCGCCTATGAGTGATAATATGCGGTGTTTCATTTTCTGTTCTTGTGTCAGTTTGCTGAGGATGATGTTCTCCAGATTCATCCATGTCCCTACAAACGACACAAACTCATCATTTCTGATTGCTGCATAATATTCCATGGTGTATATGTGCCACATTTTTCCAATCCAGTCTATTATCAATGGGCATTTGGGTTGATTCCAGGTCTTTGCTATTGTAAACAGTGCTGCAATGAACATTCATGTACATGTGTCTTATAGTAGAACGATTTATAGTCTTTTGGATATATACCCAGTAATGGGATTGCTGGGTCAAATGGAATTTCTATTTCTAAGGCCTTGAGGAATCGCCACACTGTCTTCCACAATGGTTGAACTAATTTACACTCCCACCAACAGTGTAGAAGTGTTCCTTTTTCTCCACATCCTCTCCAGCATCTGTTTTTAATGATCGCCATTCTAACTGGCGTGAGATGGTATCTCAATGTGGTTTTGATTTGCATCTCTCTGATGACCAGTGATGATGACCATTTTTTCATATGATTGTTGGCCTCATATATGTCTTCTTTCGTAAAGTGTCTGTTCATATCCTTTGCCCACTTTTGAATGGGCTTGTTTGATTTTTTCCTGTAAATCTGTTTGAGTTCTTTGTAAATTCTGGATATCAGCCCTTTGTCAGATGGGTAGACTGCGAACATTTTTTCCCATTCTGTTGGTTGCCGATCCACTCTAGTGACTGTTTCTTTTGCCGTGCAGAAGCTGTGGAGTTTGATTAGGTCCCATTTGTCTATTTTGGCTTTTGTTGCGAATGCTTTTGGTGTTTTGTTCATAAAGTCCTTGCCTACTCCTATGTCCTGGATAGTTTTGCCTAGATTTCCTTCTAGGGTTTTTATGGTGCCAGGTCTTATGTTTAAGTCTTTAATCCATCTGTAATTTTAGTGTAAGGTGTCAGGAAAAGGTCCAGTTTCTGCTTTCTGCACATGGCTAGCCAGTTTTCCCAACACCATTTGTTAAACATGGAATCCTTTCCCCATTGCTTGTTTTTGTCAGGTTTATCAAAGATTGTATAGTTGTATGTATGTTGTGTTGCCTCCGGTGCCTCTGTTTTGTTCCATTGGTCTATATCTCTGTTTTGGTACCAGTACCATGCTGTTTCGATTACTGTCGACTTATAGTATCGTTTGAAATCCGGTAGTGTGATGCCCCCAACTGTGTTATTTTTGCTTAGAATAGACTTGGCTATGCGGGCTCTCTTTTGGTTCCATATGAAGTTCATGGTGGTTTTTTCTAGTTCTGTGAAGAAAGTCAGTGGTAGCTTGATGGGGATAGTGTTGATTCTGTAAATTACTTTGGGCAGTATAGCCATTTTCACGATATTAATTCTTCCTAACCATGAACATAGAATGTTTCTCCATCTGTTTGTGTCTTGTAGTTCTCCTTGAAGAGGTCTCTTACGTTCCTTGTGAGTTGTATTCCAAAGTATTTTATTCTTTTTTAGCAATCGCGAATGGCAGTTCGCTCTTGATTTGGCTTTCTTTAAGTCTGTTGTTGGTGTAGACGAATGCTTGTGATTTTTGCACATTGATTTTATATCCTGAGACTTTGATGAAGTTGCTTACCAGTTTCAGGAGTTTTTGGGCTGAGGCGATGGGGTCTTCTAAGTTTACTATCATGTCGTCTGCAAATAGAGACAATTTGGCTTCCACATTTCCAATTTGAATACCATTTATTTCTTTTTCTTGCCTGATTGCTCTGGCTAGAACTTCCAGTACTATATTGAATAGGAGTAGTGAGAGAGGGCATCCTTGTCTAGTGCCAGATTTCAAGGGGAATGCTTCCAGTTTTTGCTCATTCAGTATGATATTGGCTGTTGGTTTGTCATAAATAGCTTTTATTACTTTTTGAGATACGTTCCATCGATACCGAGTTTATTGAGAATTTTTAGCATAAAGGGCTGTTGAATTTTGTCAAATGCCTTCTCTGCGTCAATTGAGATAATCATGTGGTTTTTGTTTTTGGTTCTGTTTATGTGGTGAATTACGTTGATAGACTTGCGAATGTTGAACCAGCCTTGCATCCCTGGGATGAATCCTACTTGATCATGATGAATAAGTTTTTTGATTTGCTGTTGCAATCAGCTTGCCAATATTATATTGAAGATATTTGCATCTATGTTCATCATGGATATTGGCCTGAAGTTTTCTTTTCTCGTTGGGTCTCTGCCAGGTTTTGGTATCAGGATGATGTTGGTCTCATAAAATGATTTGGGAAGGATTCCCTCTTTTTTGATTGTTTGAAATAGTTTTAGAAGGAATGGTACCGGCTCCTCCTTGTGTGTCTGGTAGAATTCGGCTGTGAACCCGTCTGGACCTGGGCTTTTTTTTGTGTGGTAGGCTCTTAATTGCCTCAACTTCAGACCTTGTTATTGGTCTATTCATAGTTTCAGCTTCCTCCTGGTTTAGGCTTTGGAGAACGCAGGAGTCCAGGAATTTATCCATTTCTTTTAGGTTTACTAGTTTATGTGCATAGAGTTGTTTTTAATATTCTCTGATGATGGTTTGAATTTCTGTGGAATCTGTGGTGGTTTCCCCTTTATCATTTTTTATTGCATCTATTTGGTTGTTCTCTCTTTATTTTTAATCAATCTGGCTAGTGGTCTGTCTATTTTGTTGATCTTTTCAAAGAACCAGCTCTTGGATTTATTGATTTTTTTGAAGGGTTTTTCGTGTCTCAATCTCCTCCAGCTCAGCTCTGATCTTAGTTATTTCTTGTCTTCTGCTGGGTTTTGAGTTTTGCTGATCTTGCTCCTCTAGCTCTTTCAAATTTGACGATAGGGTGTCAATTTTGGATCTCTCCATTCTCCTCATATGGGCACTTATTGCTATATACTTTCCTCTAGCCAGAGGTTCCGGCATGTTGTGTCTCTGTTCTCATTGGTTTCGAAGAACTTCTATATTTCTGCCTTCATTTCGTTGTTTACCCAGTCAACATTCAAGAGCCAGTTGTTCAGTTTCCATGAAGCTGTGCGGTTCTGGGTCAGTTTCTGAATTCTGAGTTGTAACTTGATTGCACTATGGTCTGAGAGGCTGTTTGTTATGATTTCAGTTGTTTTGCATTTGTTGAGCAGTGCTTTACTTCCAATTATGTGGTCAATTTTAGAGTAGGTGTGATGTGGTGCTGAGAAGAATGTGTATTCTGTGGATTTGGCGTGGAGAGTTCTGTAAATGTCCACCAGGTTTGCTTGCTCCAGGTCTGAGTTCAAGCCCTGGATATCCTTGTTGATTTTCTGTCTGGTTGATCTGTCTAGTATTGACAGTGGAGTGTTAAAGTCTCCCACTATTATTGTGTGGGAGTCTAAGTCCTTTTGTAAGTCATTAAGATTGCCTTATGTATCTGGGTGCTCCTGTGTTTGGTCCATATATGTTTAGGATCGTTAGCTCTTCTTGTTGTATCGATCCTTTTACCATTATGTAATGGCCTTCTTTGTCTCTTTTGATCTTTGTTGCTTTAAAGTCTATTTTATCAGAGATGAGAATTGCAACTCCTGCTTTTTTTTGCTTTCCATTAGCTTGGTAAATCTTCCTCCATCCCTTTATTTTGAGCCTTTGCGTATCCTTGCAGGTGAGATGGGTTTCCTGGATACAGCACACTGATGGGTTTTGGATTTTTATCCAATTTGCCAGTCTGTGTCTTTTGATTAGTGCATTTAGTCCATTTACATTTAGGGTTAATATTGTTATGTGTGAATTTGATACTGCCATTTTGATGCCAAGTGGCTGTTTTGCCTGTTAGTTTTTGTAGATTCTTCATTATGTTGAAGCTCTTTAGCATTCAGTGTGATTTTTGAATGGCTGGTACTGGTTGATCCTTTCTATGTGGAGCTCTTGTAAAGCAGGCCTGGTGGTGACAAACTCTCTGAGTACTTGCTTGTTCGCTAAGGATTTTATTTTTCCTTCACTTCTGAAGCTCAGTTTGGCTGGATATGAAATTCTGGGTTGAAAGTTCTTTTCTTTAAGAATGTTGAATATTGGCCCCCACTCTCTTCTGGCTTGTAGTGTTTCTGCCGAGAGATCTGCTGTGAGTCTGATGGGCTTCCCTTTGTGGGTGACCCGACCTTTCTCTCTGGCTGCCCTTAGTATTCTCTTTTTTATTTCAACCCTGTTGAATCTGACGATTATGTGCCTTGGGGTTGCTCTTCTTGCGGAATATCTTTGTGGTGTTCTCTGTATTTCCTGCAATTGAGTGTTGGCCTGTCTTGCTAGGTGGGAAAAATTTTCCTGGATGATGTCCTGAAGAGTATTTTCCAGCTTGGATTCATTCTCTTCGTCCCCTTCTGGTACACCTATCAAACGTAGGTTAGGTCTCCCACATTTCTTGGAGACTTTGTTCATTCCTTTTTGCGCTTTTTTCTCTGATCTTGGTTTCTCATTCTGTTTCATTGAGTTGGTCTTCGACTTCAGATATTCTTTCTTCTGCTTGGTCAATTCGGCTATTGAAACTTGTGTTTGCTTCGCGAAGTTCTCGTATTGTGTTTTTCAGCTCCTTTAATTCATTCATATTCCTCTCTAAGTTATCCATTCTTCTTATCATTTCCTCGAATCTTTTTTCAAATCTTTTTTCAAGGTTCTTAGTTTCTTTGCATTGATTTAATACATGATCTTTTAGCTCACAAAAGTTTCTCATTATCCATCTTTTGAAGTCTAATTCCGTCATTTCGTCACAGTCATTCTCCGTCCAGCTTTGTTCCCTTGCTGGTGAGAAGTTTTGGTCCTTTCTAGGAGGCGAGGTGTTCTGGTTTCGGGTGTTTTCCTCCTTTTTGCGCTGGTTTCTTCCCATCTTTGTGGATTTGTCCGTTGCTGACTGTTCGATTGGGTCTCTGAGTGGACACCCAGAATGTTGATGATGAAGTATTTCTGTTGCTTTGTTTTCCTTCTACCAGTCTAGCCCCTTCTCTGTATGACTGCTGAGGTCCGCTCCAGACCCTGCTTGTCTGGGGTGCACCTCTAGCAGCTGTGGCACAGCGAGGGATGCTACCAGTTTCTTTTTCTGCTCTCTTTGTCCCAGGATGATGCCTGCGTAATGTCAGTATTTTGGATATAGAGGGGTCTGGGAGCTGCTTGAGGAGACAGTTTGTACTTTATAGGGGTTTAATTGCTGAGCTGTGCGCTCTGTTGTTTCTTCAGGGCTGTTAGGTTGCTATGTTTGATTCTGCTGCAACAGAGCTCATTAAAAAAAACCCTTTTTTTTTGCTCAAATGCTCTGTGTTGAGGGGTTTGGGCTTTATTTTTGCATGTTCGATGAGGTGTCCTGTTCAGCTAGAAGGCAGACTAGCCACTGTTGGTTGCTGAGGCTCCGCCCTGGTGTTGTGTGATTCGCCTTGTTCCTGCAGGCTCTGCTGTGGTCTCCGCCACGCCCTGCGGCGGAGTCTCTTCATTGTAGCGTGTTGCCTCAGCAATGGCAGGCTGTGTCAGCAGTTGGCGTGTATCTCAGTAGGGACGGGTTGCCTCGGCAATGGCTGGCTGCGTCAGCAGTGGGCGTGTATCTCAGTTGGGGCGGGTTGCCTCGGTAGTGGTGGACGCCCCTCCCCCACAGAGCACTCGGACCGTCTGCTCGGGATAGTTTGAAATCGCGGTTTTGTTCGTCACACTGGGTATCCCAAATGATCTGTCCCTGCAATCCCCTGGGCTGGGCTACTGTCCAAGTCTCATTCAGTCTCAAGTGCAGCCCTCTTAAGTCTCAGGTTGCCGGTTCAACAAGGCACCCGGACAAGCACGCCCTGTGGGGATTTCTGGGTAGGGCCGGCCGCCGCAGACTTACTGCCTGGTGTCCCGTGTCTCCCGTTCTGTGGGCAACAAAGATCAGTCTGGAAATGCAGCGTTAACTCACCGTTTGTGGATTCAACGCGAGCTCCAATCCTGGGTTGTTCTCACAGCGCCATCTTGAGTCGGTTTTTTTGAGAAGTTTATCTTTTAATGTAGGTGTGATAGAAAATCAGGAAGCAGGGAATAGACTGCCCAATTTGAGTTGTTTTTTTTTTTTTTTTTGAGATCGAGTCTCACTCTGGCACCCAGGAGGGAGTGATGTGGCGTGATCTCGGCTCACTGCAACTTTTGCCTTCCAGATTCAAGTGACCCTTGAGGATCAGCCTCCTGAGTAGCTGGTATTACAGGCACCTGCCACCATTCCCGGCCTATTTTTGTAATTGTCGTAGAGACAGAATTGCATCATGATGACCAGTCTGTTCGAGAATTTCTGACCTCTAGTTGATCAACCTGTCCCAGCCTCCAATTTACATTTTAATAAAAAAATATTGTTCATGGCTCACATCTGTAATTTTAGCACTTTGGGTGGCTGAGGCAGGTGAATCACCTGAGGTTGGGAGTTTGAGACCAACCTAAGATGGAGAAATCTTATTTCTACTAAATATACAAAATTATCTGGGCATGATGTTGCATGCCTGTAATCACAGTCATTTGTTAGGCTGAGGCAGTAGAATTGCTTGAACATGGGAAGCGGTGGTTGCAGTGAGACTAGACCCTGCCACTGAACACCAACTTTGGCAACTAGAGTAAAACCCTGTCTGAAAAAAAAAAAAACCTAGGCATGATGGCAGGAACCTGTAGTCTCAGCTACTCAGAAAGCTGAGGCATGAGAATCTCTTGAACCTGGAAAGTGGAGGTTTCAGTGGGCTGAAATCACCCACTGCACTCCTGTCTTGGTGCAGAGCAAGATTATGTCTCAAACAAAACAAAAAGCAAAACAAAAGCAAACACTTCTGGGCTCATGTAATCCTCCTACCTCAGCCTGCGAAAGAATTATAAGCAAGTGCCAGCATGCCCAACCTGGGCCAAGATGTTAATAGAAAGTGGTAACCAGTGTGAGAAGTAAGGTATTGTGGGCTAAGCACTTTCTAGACAGAGGGCACAGCACATAAGAGTGAGAATCTGCATTTTTAGCACCCGGAATTGTTTTTCTCTCCACAGGACAAGGTGACAACTGGTCTCCCTGTACAGGCAGTCAAAGAAATTTGAGGAAAACACATTGTAGCAAGATGATGATGTTTTCCGTGAAAACAATAAAGTGACTAAGATCCGTTAGCATGTTGTGCTTGGCTTCCGTGAAGGTCCTCAGCGGCATAACTGGACATCCGTCTCGGGATTGGGCTTTGCACCAGAAAGTTTCTGAGATACTCTCTCCATCAGATCCACCCCCGGGGGAGGCCAGTTGCGGGTGTGGCCACCTCTGCGGCTGGCTGGGCAGGCCGCTTTGTCTTTGTTCACATCTTTTCCGGCCAGCAGCGCTGAGAAGAGACCAAGGCAGGGCCCCTTGGTGGGTGGACCAGGTCGAAGCGGGCAGTGAGCTCATGGAGCCGGGCAACGTTCTGCTGACACCCTCCCGGAGGGTCTCAGGCATCTTTCTGAGGTCCACCGACCCCCGCCACACATCACCAGACTGAATCTCCAGCCCCGCGGGACCCAATCGCTGCCCACGCCATCCGATCTGGAATCCAGTGGGAAGAGCAGACCTGGGTGCCCACCTCACGGTATCAAGCACCTTCCCATCCAGCTGACCCAAACAGGAAAGTCGGCTCAGGGAGCCACTGAGGTCAGGACGGTCGGGCTCCTGCTCAGCTTGTGGCAGACAGCCTCCTTCCCTGGGGCCGCCTGGGACACCGCCACCAGCATTTTCTGGTGCCACTGAGGCTCCCCTGCCACAGAGTGCCCACGTTGCCGCTGGCCAGCCAGGCACGCCAATGTGCATGTGCAAGTGGCGCATCACAAGCGCTAGCGTCCATCCCGGCTCGCATCACAGTGACAGTCCCTGTGGCCTGGGGAACGGCCGTCTCAGGGGCTTGGCAGAACAGCGGCCTTCAGTGGAAGTGCCTGGACCTTAGGCGATGGCCCCCCTCTCCCCGAGATCGTCGCCAGGGTCTCGTGATTTCAGGAGTCCAGCAGGGCGGGACCAGGCTGAGAAAAGCTGCAGCGGAGCTTCAGGGATGCGCAGGGCGATCCCCAAGGATCCCCACGGTGCTTCAGGCCTGCTCAGACACTGTGGGGGGTGCGTCTCCTTAAAAGCTGTCCCTGCTGGGATTTCCAGGTACCGCCAGCCTGTGTGCCCTGGGGCTGCTCTCTCCCGGAGAAGCTTCCCAGGAGAGAGCAGAACTCCTCAGCCTCAGGAGCTGCTTGCAACTGTTGGATGACTGCGCGAGCGCATGTGTGTGTGTGTGTGTGTGTGTGTGTGTGTGTATCTGTGTGCGTCTGCAGGGGTCCCTGGGCTTCCAGACCAAGGCAGAGCCCCTGGTGGGTGGCCCAGGTTGAAGTGGGGCAGTGACTTCATGGAGCCATGGAATGTTCAGTTGTTGGAGGAACAGCAAAGAGGTCCCTTTGGCTGGAGTAGGGTGGGGGGGAGAGAGAGGGAGGAGGGGAGGGAGGAGGGAAGTAAGGCCTGTTGGGCAGGGCCTGCAGGCCTTGGGGAGGTGAGGGAAGTTGAGCAGTTTATCTTTTAATGTAACTGTGCTGGGAAATAAGGAAGCAGGGGAGAAACAATCCAATTTAATTTTTGGTGTTTTTTTTTGAGGAGTCTCATTCTGTCACTCAGGTGGGAGTGCACAGGTGTGATCTCAGCTCACTGCAACCTCCTCCTCCCAGATTCAAGTGATTCTTGTGGCTCAGCCTCCTGAGTAGCTGGTATTATTGGCACCCACCACCATGCCCAGCTAACTTTTGTAATTGTAATAGAGAAAAGGTTTCACCATAATGGCCAGGCAGGTCTGGAACTACTGACCTCAAGTGGATCTACCTCCAATTTAGGTTTTAATGAAAAGATATTGGTCGGGGTTGGTGGCTCATGGCTTTAATCCCAGCACTTTGGTAGGCTGAGGCAGGTGGATCTCCTGAGGTTGTGAGTTCCAGACCAGCCTGACCAAGATGGAGAAATCCCGTTACTATTAAATATACAAAATTAGCTGGGCATGGTGGTGTATGCCTGTAATCTTAGCCATTTGGGAAGGTGAGGCACGGTAATCAGTTGAACCTGGGAAGCAAAGTTTGCAGTGAGCCAAGATCATGCCACTGAACTCCAAACTGGGCAACAAAAGTAAAATATTGTCTCAAAAAACAAAAAAAAATAATGGGCATGGTGGCAGGCACCTGTGGTTCCAGCTACTCAGAAGGCTGAGGCAGTAGAATCGCTTGAACCTGAAAGGTGGAGGTTTCAGTTAGCTGAAGTCACTCACTTAACTCCTGCCTGGGTGACAGAGCAAGATTCTGTCTCAAACAAAACAAAAGCAAAGGCTCATATGATCCTCCTACCTCAGCCTGCGAAATTGCTGGGGTTATCAGCATGTACTCCCATGCCCAGCCTGGCTCAAGATCTTAATAATAAGGGGTAACCAGTGTGAGAAGAAAGGTATTGGGGGTTAATCACTTTCCAGACAGAGGGAACAGACCATGTAAAGTTTCTGGGGCAGGACTATTTCTGGCAGGTTGGAGGAACAGCAAGGAGGTCCCTGTGGCTTGAGGAGAGTAAGGAGTGGGAGAGAGGGAGGAGGTAAGGAGGACGGGTTGGGCAGGACCTGCGGGCCTTGGGGAAGTGGGGTATGTTAAGCAGTTTATCTTTTAATGTAAGTGTGATGGGAAATAAGGAAGCAGGGAAGAAACAGTCCAATTTGAGTTTTTGGGTTTTTTTTTTGAGACTGGGTCTCACTCTGTAACCCAGGTGGGAGTGCAGTGGCATGATCTCAGCTCACTGCAACCTCTGCCTCCCAGACTCAAGTGACTCTTGAATAGCTGGTATTCCAGGCACCAGCCACCATGCCTGGCTAATTTCTGTAATTATAGTAGAGACAGGATTTCACCATAATGGCCAGGCTGGCCTGGAACTACAGACCTCTAGTGGATAAAACTGCCTCAGTTTTCAATTTATGCTTTAATTATAAGATATTGGTCAGCGTTGGTGGCTCACACCTCTAATCCCAGCACTTTGGGAGGGGGAGTCAAGTGGATCACCTGAGGTTGGGAGTTCGAGACCAGACTGACCAAGATGGAGAAATCCAGTTTCTACTAAATATACAAAATTAGCTGGGCATGGTGGCCCATGTCTGTAATCCCAGCAATTTGGAAGGCTGAGGCAGCAGGATCACTTGAACCTGGGAGGCGGAGGCTGCAGTGAGCCAAGATACTGCCACTGAACACGAACCTGGGCAATGAGAGTAAAACTCTGTCTGAAAACAAAACAGAAAACAAACAACAACAACAACAAAAAAACTGGGCAGGCACCTGCAGTCACAGCTACTCAGAAGGCTGAGGCAGCCGAATCACTTGAACCTGGAAGGTGGAGGTTTCACTTGGCTGAAATCACCCACTGCACTCTTGCCTGGGTGACAGAGCAATATTCTGTCTCAAACAAAATGAAAAGCAAAACAAAAGCAAACCCTTCTGGGCTCATGTGATCCTCCTACCACACCCTGCGAAATTGCTGGGATTATAAACACTGGCCACCATCCCCAGCCTTGGCCAATGTCTTAATGGAAAGGGGTAACCTGTGTGAGAAGGATGGTATTTGGGGGTAAGCACTTTCCGGACAGAGGACACAGCCCATGCATAGGCCCTGGGGCAGGAGTGTGTGTGTCGTGTTGGAGGAACAGCAAGGAGGTCCGTGTGGCTTGAGCAGAATGAGGAATGAGAGCAAGGGAGCAGGAAAGGACGATGGGTTGGGCAGGGCCTGTGGGCCTTGGGGAGGTGGGGGAAGTTAAGCAGTTTATTTAATGTATGTGTGATGCGAAAACTGGAAGAAGGGAATAAACTGTATAATTTGAGTTTGGGGTTTTTTTTTTTTTTTGAGATGGAGTCTCACTCTGGCACCCAGGAGGGAGTGCAGTGGCATGATCTTGGCTCACTGCAACCTTTGCCTCCCAGATTCAAGTGACCCTTCAGGCTCAGCCTCCTGAGTAGCTGGTATTACAAGCACCTGCCACCATGCCTGGCTAATTTTTGGAATTGTAGTATAGACAAGATTTCACCATAATGGCCAGGCTGGCCTTGAACTACAGACTTCTAGTGGATCAACCTGTTGAAATTGTATCTTGTGGAACCTTTTAGAGACGTTGAATGGGTGTATAATCATGTGCACAATAAAATCAAGGTTGAGGTCATCTCAAGTTGAGATGAGGAACTTGTTGGTAGCTGAGGAAAAGGTGACTCTTACTTTAGCAAAGAGACTAGCAGCATTCTTCCCCTGCACTACAGATTTGTGGAAGTATAGAGATGACTTAGTATATCCGGCAGAAGAACTTTGTAAGGAGCAAAGCATTCAAGAGATAACTTGGGTGCTATTAAAGGCATTAGGATTTATAAGGGAAGCAGAGCATAAAAGCTTGAAAAATTTGCAGCTTGGCAATATGATAAAAAGAAACCCCCTTTTCTGAGAAGAAATTCAAGCTTGCTGCAGAAATTTGCATAAGTAATGAGTGGAATATTAATCCCAAAGACAAAAAGGAAAATGTCCCCAGGGCCTGTCAGAGGCCTTCACAGCAGCTCTTTCCATCACAGGCCTAGAGGCCTCGGAGGAAAAAAAAAAGTTTTGTGGACCAGGCCCAGGTGCCCCTCTGCTCTTTGTAGCATAGGGAATTGGTTCCCTGTATCTCAGCCACTCCAGCTGTGGTTGAAAGGGGCAAATGTACAGCTCAGGCTATGGCTTCAGAGGGGGCATGCCTCAAACCTTAGCAGCTTCTTTATGGTGCTAAGCCTGCCAGCACCAAAGTCAAGAAGTGGGGTTTGGGAACCTCTGTTTAGATTTCAGAGGATAGATAGAAACACCTGAATATCCAGGCAGAAGTTTGCTGTGGGGGCAGGGCTCTCATGGAGAACCGCTGATAGGGCAGTGCAGTAGGGAAATGTGGAGTCAGAGTCCCCACCAAGAGTCCCTACTAGAGCATTGCCAAGTGGAGCTGTGAGAAGAGGGCCACTGTCCTCCAGACTCCAGAATGGTAGATCCAGTGACAGCTTATACCATGCACCTGGAAAAACCACAGACACTCAATGCCAGTCCATGAAAGCAGCTGAGAAGCAGGCTGTAACCTGCAAAGCCACAATGGTA